TCAGCGTACGGAATATGAAACCAAACTCAATACCATTTAGTTCATTTAATATCCTCGCAATACGGATGCAATGGACGCTGTTGCAACTTAAGAGTATGAAATTTCACAATATCAATGTCGATCGATCGGAATTGGATTCAAGAGTAAACCCCTTGACCCCTGATCCTTTTACAATGCGATCTCCAACCCGGCTGCTAAGCGCACGTGACGGTTATGGCAAACCCCTTTGTGTAGCGAAACCTCATAATCCAGCAGTTGGGTCTCACGAGCCTTTGATAATTATAACATAGAAATATCTAATGGCTGATGTGAAATCACCCTTATGTTCGTTATAATAGATAGTATTTTAGTTTTTAATAAAAATAGTGTTAGCCTTGACTATAATACCTATACCTACGCTATTACCTTGCGTTCAAACGATCGATTTTTATTGCTTTCAGAATTTGTCGTTGCTATTTTGAATACTATAAAAATTGCTCGTTCTTCTCCATTCGAAACTAAACTTTGGGACGCGTGGCTATCTTCATTGACGGGCAGACGGACGGAAAGTTCAATTTTCGACGGATTTTTAAGGATTAAATGAAATAAGTAAATAATTTGACTTTGATGTTTGCCTTGCTTTCAAAAGAAGATCTTTAGACGGGAGAATTTTTAATATTTTATTTATTTAAAACCTAATGATTCGTCAGTATTTTGTCGTAGATATTTAACGCAAATCATTTCGATTCTATTTCTAACTAGCGACTCGTGCCGGTTTCGCACGGGTGCAGTATGCATGTATTATACATATAAAAATTAAAAAAAACCGCATCAAAATCTGTTGCGTAGTATTAAAGATCTAAGCATACATAGGGACAAGCAGACGGCGGATAGCGACTTTGTTTTATACTATGTAGTGATTACCGCTTCCGATCGACCGATCTGGAAGTCTTTAGGGAGGCCTTTACTTTTTTTATATATTTGATGGTCTTTTTTTTTTAAGGGGGGAAAATCGTCGAATGACTGCTCCCGCCTGGGTGAGGCGGGAGGGAGTGTCAGACTCTTACTGACTAAAAACCACCCCGTTCCTTCTCCTGCACGTCGAGCCGGAGCCCGGTCACCCGTTAGGTTCTCCGCGACTCCGTATCAGCATCAGCCCTATTGGGCCCCATCCGAATTCGACGCGCCGTACGCTCGGGTAAGGGGTTAGTTTAGATGTTCTCTCATGTTAAGTAACTTCTAGTTAAGAGATAGTTTTAAAGGTAGTTGTGAAAACGCGCATAAGTATGCCTGTAACCCCAGAGGCGTCACGAGTGCGCTATTGACCACTAATCAACTTCTTCTACAACAAAAATTTTGTGAAGAGAAATATCGGAAGGTTGTCAAAAATCTATCCTTACAGACCTATTACCTAATTACTTACAATTTTATTCGAATGTAGGTTCTGTGGGAGTTGATAACATTACATTTACTGTAAGAACTGACTCAGAGGAAACTGACACATACTGTTATATCAATGGTTATTAAATTATCTCTTATTTACCTATTATTCATTTTCATTCAACAACTTTTATTATTTATATTACAACTACAGTGAAACGTATTAAGTAAATTAATTATGTTGTAATGACTGCCTCGTTGGCCGAGTGGTCGCAAGTGCGACTGCCAGGCAAAGGGTCTCGGGTTCGATTCCCGGGTCGGGCTAAGTATTATTGGGTTTTTAAAAATCTCAGTAGTAGCATGGAGGCTGGAAATGTGCCCGGTATATGGCAATAGGCTCACCCCCTATTACATGGGACTCTTAACATAAATAGTGAAAAGTGGGTGTTACATTGTACAGTGGCATTAAGTGCCGAAATGTGCACCTCTGCCTACCCCTTCGGAGATAAAAAGGCGTGATGTTATGTTATGTTGTAGTAACGGTTTACGTATGTGTGTGTGTAAATATTCGTCGGAGTTGCGCGACTCGTTTTAATCTCCAAGAGGGCCCATAACTTCAGCCAACTGAGTTCTTGTCGGCGCAACATTGTCGCGTAAGCTGCTCATGGCTTCGGGTCCTTAGTGTGGCTTGTCATAAACTGTTTGACGAGTAACGGCCATCTTCTATAACCTATCTATCTGTAGATCGCACACCTGCTCTAGATGGACTACCTCGATTACCTACTGAGATAGAATTTAGACACATTTTGTATGGAGCTTATGTCAAAATTAAATGGGACAGACGTTTGACCACTATCTCGCCTGGTGGTAAGCGATGAAATGGACTACGATGGAGCACGTCGTCCCATAAGCAACCTATTCACTCGGACCTTAAAGACACCCAGGTTATATACCCGTCAGGAAAAACAGATTCTGGCAAAGAATTCCACTCCTTAGCAGTACGCAGAAGAAAGCTTGATGCGAAGCGCTTCTTTAACAATATCTTCTTGGATAACTTTGAATATTTGACAATTCTTCCATACTATAAACTGTCGAATATCAATTTTATTTTACAGTTAAGAGTTAACTAATGATTGAAAAATGGCAATAACCATTAATCGAGTTACCTCGTCGAACAGTTATTTTTTTGTATAGTTTTTTTATCGAGATAAGCTATGGGTTGTAAAACATCGCATCAATAGAAGCCGAGCAGCGGGTAAAACCGCGGGAAGTAACTATTCAGTTTTAGTACTTTGTAACTAAGTAATTTACTTATCTTTAACAACATGCTATAAGGTTCCAAATATTCTAATTACTTGAGCTTATCTTGAATGAGATGACCTAACAAGTATGTTTAAAAAGTGATTAACGTAATAATAACTTTTTCTTAAAGTGGAGATAACACAAGACTATCTTGTTTAAAAGTATTTTAAGTGCTGATAGTCTATGACAATTCACTGTTAGATTATGAGTCTCCTTTTTATAATTACGAGTCCTGTCGTCCCCAAAAGGAACTCTGGGACGGAAAATTGTCCCGTTTTCAGGAACCACGCGAAAATTTTAATAGCAGAACCTACGCGACGACCGTTTCCTCGGTTGAAGTGGTATGCTAGACCGATACAGTGTCATACATAACTCGTTAAGTTTTGACGAAGCACATTCGAAAATTCCTTTTCTTCCCGTCTCGCCTGGTGGTAAGCGATACTTTTAGTAGGAACCTATTTTTCGTGCAGTTAGTTTTTTTATGGCATAAGCCGGTAAATGAGCAGACTGATCACCTGGTGGTAAGCAGTCGGCATCGCCCATGGATACCTGGAAAACCAGAGGCGTTACAAGTGCGTTACCGGCCTTTTGGGGATTAGGAGTTTGAGAATCATTGGGGATTCAGGAATTGGGGAGATTGGGGAAGGGGAGGGTAATTGGGCCTCCGGTAACCTCACTCACACGACGAAACACAACGCAAGCGTTGCTTCACGTCGGTTTTCTGTGAGGCCGTGGTATCACTCCGGTCGAGCCAGCCCATTCGTGCCGAAAAGCATGGCTCTCCCACAGTAATATTGTTAGGAAACCTTTTTGTTATAAGCACAGTTTCTGTGTACAGGTTGTACAGAAACTAGCTACGAATATCTCGTTAGAGTCAAAAATTAAATGGTCGCATTAATTTTGTATCAGCCACCTCTACATATGAGTAGTTTACCATAATTTCCATGCTTCACAGACAAATTAAAGAATGCAGAATAACAGTAATAATAGATCTTAAATGCAGCTTACTCTCGCAACTGTTTGACGCGACAGTCGCCGCGTCGCGTATCGCGGAATGCTGCTCATGAATATGAGCCTCTAATATGCTTTGAAACTAGTCGAGTTCCTCGTCAAACAGTTACGTAAGTAAGCCGAAAACATAATAAGTGGGTTTTGTTATTAATTTTGGCTGTTAAGTTGTCTAGTCTCTTTTTTGGCGTAGCGCAACTAATTTTCTGTTCCACGGACTTAGCATTACATTTTAAAGGTAGACAGAAATGGTCTAAGCTAATTACTGTGAAATGGTAGATAAGGAAGACAAACATGACTTTAGACAGTGAAAAAAGTAATAAAGAAGTTTTTCTTGTTTTTTTATTTTATCTTCGCTACACAATAGCCTTTTATCATAGACTATAACGACCTCTTTTCATGGTTTCTTTAGCTCTTAATTGTTATACATAATTGGCGCGTAAACAATAGATTCTGTCACACGTCCAGTAGCTACAAATCATTGCTTACTTCATGAATAATACAAAACAATAATTCTAACATCCTAATATGAATGAAAACTTATTAGAATCACAAATTAGTGTGTAAATTATACTTGCACAATTACTTACGTGTACAGAATTACTATTAGGTACCTACTTCGTTAAATTTCATAACGTTAACAACTACAAGTTTCATATTTTGTAACAGTAATAAAGTATATATAAAATATGTGTTTTATATAAAAATGACGGTGATTTACAGGGCAATGACTGCTCGAGTGAGTGTGAAGAATATTTTAGAAACTTCAAGACGATAAGTCATGTAACTTTTACGTAAAAAACATCGCAACATGAATTAAGTGGTAAGTATAACTTATGATTGAGTACTTAACCTCGATGTTTATGGTCAAGTTACTCAGAAATAGCACCCTAGTTATAAGTTACTAATCTAATTAGCAATCCTTCTTTAAATATAACACGTTTCTTATAAGTAGGTTGTGAATAGGTGTCTCATAAATATAAAATTGAATTCCAATTCCTTTTGATCATCGAATTGTGTGTGAACGGCTGCACAGATTTCGGTAATTCTTCTTTTGCTGTGTTTCTTATGGTCAGAAGAAGGTTCTTATAAAAGAAAATTTACGAAAAATCGTCAGGAAAGTCGCGAAATATCGCCCGATACTTATGGAAATGGAACGCAAGTGCGCAATTATAGAAATAAAAACAGAATAAATGACTTATTAGATATGTCAGGTAAGTCTATTATGTTGTCTTGGGAATGAATACCCTTACGAACTAAGGTCGGCTCGCTAGTTTGAAATATAAATAAACAAAATTATATGAAAAGTCATGTTTCTTCGTATAACTCACCGTAAAATGGCCACTATTCGCTAGAAGCAATGAGATTCACACTATTACGGCTTATGCTAGTATTTACAAGCACTATAATATTAATAACACTTAATTAAACTATTATTTTAGATTGAAAACAGACTATCACAATAACGTTGATACAGCTGCAGCAGCCATTTGTAAAAAATAACAGTGTGCCTAATATTCTTATAATATTACTACCCTACCAAGAGAAATAGATTTTTGAATTTATATGATAAACTGCCTATTTGATGTATATTGCTATAATATCGTTAGGAATTTTAATTTTGTAATAAAAGATGCATTTTTCAAACACATTTTATTGCAACATAGTTTTATTAGCTATTCACTAATTAGAATAAGTAAAATACCAAACTACTACATTTCTACCATGCTTGACAACATTGGTTACACATCCGTTCCATTCTACGTACTAATTGTCGAACATCACAACTGTTTTCGCGATGTTTTGGTATATGTTTGTAAATAAAATAAAACATATAATCGTTACATTAATTAACAAATGTTTATACATACTTAAAATTGAAATGCATGCCATGAATTAACTTAAAACTAATTTGGTTTATTCCTGCAGTCCGATACACATTGTGAGTGTTGAGTATAACGTAACGCCGTTATATTTACAAATTCATTTGTTTTAGTAATTCTCGTGATTGAGAGTGAGAAATAAAGAAAATTACATCAAAATGTCTTCAGGAGTTACAAAACGACAAGTGCTATCAATGTACAAACTTCTCATGAGAGAAGCTGAGAAGTTTCCAAACTATAACTTCAGGTAAATTTATTCAATATAGAATTCAAATTATATAACCTCTCTTTGGCTGAAAAAACGTAAAATGTTAGCAAATCATGCTAATTGGGAGTTTGTGGCAAAACGTGTATAGTTGCACGCAATCCTATTACTAAATATCGATTTAACGTGGACGTTGCACGAGGTTATAAAGGACCTATTTCGTCATAATTGCAAACTGTTTCAACAAACAAATATTTTTACCTTATTTTAATATTTGATCAATTAAATAAACAAAAAGTTCTTTACACAATATAAAATTATATAAATATCAATAATTTTGGAATTTTGGGAATACTTCACATCATTGATCTTATTTGTTTTATAGATGTCTTTATTTTTGCGGGTCTCGTGTGGGTAACAGTAAAAATAATTTAAATATTATTGCTATAAACCGGGTACAATTTCAAACTGCACGATAATTGAGAAATTTTTCGAATACCTAAGTAAAAAACCCTAACAAAATTTTACCTGATCCGGGAATCAAACCCAGAACAGTCACACTTGTAACCACTAGACCAACAGACAGAAGAGCATCAAATGTACTTAACACATTGAATACCATGGCGATCATCCGTGACTGCTGTTCATGGAGAAGATGCCTGAACAGTTTTCTATTGACAATCAAATCTTAGCCCCCTTTTTCCACTAGCAATTAGTGTTATGCAGTTGATCGCTTTTCCAATTTAAAATGCAACCGCTATGGCAACCATATGTCAATACGAACCACCTAGGCAGTCAACCACTAGTGTGTAAGGGGGCTTAAAGTCAACTTATCTATTTCCTCATATCTTAACATCATTTAAAGGACAGCCATCCGCAAGGTGGACAGACAACCTGATAAAGGTCGCAGGGAGCTACTGGATGCAGGTTGCTTCCAACCGGCCTATCTGGAAGTCATTGGCGGAGGCCTATGCTCAGCAGTGGAATTTACCTCAAAAATATTACATAATCCTTATTTAAAAATGTCTTTATAACTTCAACACTTGAACAATGATGTCATATCATTTTGTTTACATTGATAATGTTATCAAACTCTTTTTGTAGTAATCTTTCTGTTTATTGGTTCATACACCTTAAAGTTTAAACCTATAAAACTTGTTTCTGGGTGCAATGCAATGTGACTCAGTATTTTGCAGTGAATATAAAATATTTTTTTGTATCGCAATGAAAATTCTCGTGGAAAGCAACGAATCTTACTTGTTATAACAACTCTCAACTCGACCAACTTGTCTCAATCTCAACAACATCCTCTGCCTGTTGACTCGGGGTGCCCTTGCTTATTCAGCACACAAAACAAACATACAAAATTATATAATTTATCGTTTCATTTAACCTTTTGTACAGGTATATAAGACAATAGAAAATACATTGTGTCTAGATCGACGCTCCGACATATCACAGGTTTTATCGTCATGCTCCGGAGATTTCTAAACAATTCAATAATACTTTTAACTGAGTTAAGAATTGGCTCTGGGACTCAAGAAATTAAATAAAGGCTATATTAAAATAAAATGTTTTATATTTTCCAGATCCTATGCTTTGAGGAGAATAAGAGATGGCTTCAAAGAAAATAAGGCTGTTACAGATTTGAAACAGATAAACCAACAATTTGAGTTTGCTACCGAAAACCTTAGTGTTATCAAAAGACAGGTAATTAAATAATGGCATTGTAACTCCCTGGACGATTGTGTGCATAATGTATCACTAGTACAATTCCCACACAAAGCAATCCTTTCTGTTATTGATAAATTGTCATTTAACAATGTAATATGGACATTTTGAATCTCATGTTAAAAGGTAGCAATCCATTTTTGATATAAAGCAATAGCTTGACTGAACTTTACGTGCGGTGGCTGGGCAACCGGTTGCCATGCAACGTGTTGAGGGTTCGATTCCCGCTCGGAACAACACCTTGTGTGATCCACAAATTGTTGTTCCGGGTCTGGGTGTCATGTGTATGTCAACTTGTATGTTTGTAAACGCACCCACAAGACAGGAGAAAATCATAGTGTGGGACGTTTTTTTTTAAAAAAAAAAAAACAGCTTCATTTGGTGACTGACCGACAAACTGACACATCAATAGCCTATAATGCCCACTGCTAAGCAAAGCCTCTTCTCATACGTACAAGGTTTGAGCATTAATCACTACTTTTGCTCAATTCGGGTTGGCAATTAGGTACAAACTAATTAGAAATTATAAATTATAAGCCCAGGTTTCCTCACGATGTTTTCCTTCATCGTTTTTGTTTTAGAAAATACATATAACTTGGAAAAAGTCACATTGGTATTTGCCGTAACTAACAGATTATTGTTCTAATTTTCAGGTCATCGTCGGAGACTTATACAGAACAGATAAGCTGGTCATTGAGAATATTCAGTAACAAATACATATTAGTATTTAACAAATTAATTATAAAATACATATAAATATATCACCCGTGTATGTGCTGAGAGGTACTTGTAAAATTCACCTTTCTTAGGTCCCGAGGTACTAGGACAGCTGAATAATTTTGTGCCTAAATTATTAAAAAGATATTAACTGTTCAGTGTCCACCTGACTGTCTCAGTCTGAACTTTTCAGTCGCCCTAGTATCGTCTTGAGCTAGTTAATGTTTACATGTCAAGCAGCTCATGTAGTGTAGAGATTGTCCAGTCAACTGATGATAGTGAGCTCGACTGTCCGAGGTGCTTCATACATTTATAAATATATCTATCAGAGGCTCTCTGCATAAAAAATAATAACTGTAAACCGTTTTAACAAGATCGATGAGAAATTTTTGTAGACAAATTATAAGAGTAGAACTATATCTCTATGTGGGATGATGAAAGGGTATAAAAACTATTTGGTCCGACAGTTAACTAAAGGTAAAATATTAGACACGTTCTTTTTAATTTTGTCAAAAAATACTTAGACAAAACTTTTAAGAAGGAGCTAGCTACGTCATTTCTAAGTATAAAACGTACCTAGAAGTGACGTCACGCGATATTTCAAATCAATATATTGTTGTAAGTATTTGTGTCCGTAAGAAAATTAAAAATACGTATCTAATGTTTTAAAATAATCTACAAGACGGACATTAAAATAGTCAAATATCCTAGTCATATCCTAGTCGCCCTCTTTTTTACTCTCTGACAGCTCTGAGGGATAGCAAAAGAAGAAGCATTGAAAGTAGATGATTTTTTGTACAGATATTTTTCATCGATCCTAACTTGGCGTATCGTATATGATATCTTAGGTATAATAGTCTAGTATAATACAGATACAAATACAAATTTATACAGAAAAACATAATTATTTGTAATAGTAACTCCACTGCCCTTAATTTTATATAATTTTTAAAGTTATTTTCAACTAATGAGGATTTTTGCGCCGCCAGAGGCGCTGGTGTAGTTTATAATTTATTCTTTTTTTTTGAGACAGGCCTGCTCCCCTCCCTTACCCGCTGCAACTTGAACACTGAAGTCTGGCGCATCCCAGGGACTTGAATAACTGTCTTAGTTGGAAAAAGTAGTTTAAAGTTTACTGACCAATGTAATATTTATTACTTTTATGTAAGTTATCAAGTAGTCAACTTGTCACAGCTAAGCTGATTAGGGAAACTAGACCTTACGCTACATTTGCGCTATCAGGTGGGACAGAAACGTTATCCCTCTGTTATTTGATTCCAGAAAGGGAGTGTTTGCTCATGTTATATTTGTTAAAGATATTAAAATGACATTATAATATGTTTTATGATAATTATGTATTAAATGCTGCATTTCTGTTATTTATATAGATATTAAATTAAGAAGTTGAATTTATTGAAGTTTTCTTTTCATATATTAACATCAGTTGGTAGTCTGCTATGATGTACCTACTATGAAACTTCCAGTATCTAACAGTTGGTGTTACGAGTCATATGTCGTATGAGGTAGCCTATATTTAACGCTGCTCGACACCGGCATTTAACCGAACATCTCTTGCTTGGCAGTCCTAAGTCCTGATGATGACCAAAAGCTAATAAAGGCTGGATCATGCCATTATTTTCAGAAGCGTTAAGTCTAAAGTAATCAAGACTAGCTTCTGCCAGCGACTTTGCCCGCGTGCCCGTTGAATAAAAAGTACTCTCTGTTATTCCAGACCATATTCTGTTCCAAATTTAATCCCGATCCTTTCAACTGGTTTCGACGTGATTCAGCAACAAACATTCACACAAACTTTCGTATTATAATATTAGTAAGATTTCGACGATTTTTTCTCTCCTGATAGTAGGGGAGCCCATGAAGGGATTTCGGTAGTTACTCGAGCGCGTCAGATTAACATATGCAGAAAACCTAGTGTCACTGTCATGTTGAATATACCCACCATATGTCCGATCGGATTAGAAGGGGGGACTAAAAAATAAAATAAAAAATCTGACTAAATAAAGTCAGCTTCGTCAGATTAATGGAAGATAGGTCAATACCATGCCAAAGGAAGTGCGTTTAAAAAATCTGCCGATTCGAGCTTGTTTTGCAAGAGTGGGGGTATTTTGATGGGTTCTCGTTTGTACTCTCCAGAACATTCAACCCCACCATGCAAACTGGCAGATTGAGAGTTTTTATTATTATACATATGGAGCATGTACACTATCAATATCTGACACGCTCGACCACTAGAACTAAAGTTACGCTTAACAATTTTAAAGATCTGTGGATTACCCCTTCCCCCACCGATGGAAGAAATTGTCACTAAACCATTTTTTCTTTCTATCAGCATATCGTCAAAATCCTGTAGGTCCCAACGACGCTCGAGTAAATCCAAATTTAGCAACGTGGGCTCCCCTACTATGACAATACAACGCTAGTCACAAGCATCAACAAAATCTTCAAGTGATTTATTTTTGTTAGTTTTCTCAAGCATCTTAACCCAGTGATCGATGTTTTTTGAACTTAAGAAAAATGAGAACCGGATACAGTCATGTTGTGTTCGTAAATACCAAACAATCTCATTGTTGCTGATAGCGGTGTACAATCGTCAAGAAATGTGTAAAGCCACTTTTTTATCATTTGAGATTTTTTAGTATTAAATATATAATGAACGGGATGTACCTACATCACTACATAGTATGAAACAAAGTCGCTATCTGCCGTCTGTCTGTCCCTATGTATGCTTAGATCTTTAAAACTACGAAACGGATTTTGATGCGTTTTTTTTTAATAGATAGAGTGATTCTTAAGGAAGGTTTATAATTTATGTATAATAGCATGTATTGCACCCGTGTGAAGTCGTGCCGGGTCGCTAGTTGTATAATAAACATAACAAAACAAAAACGTTTCCCTTTACCCTTGTTTTATGTAACAGATAGCATCGATGTATTTTCACTTGGTTTTTAATTATCTTGAGGAGACTAAGTACAAATTCAGGCCGATCGAGATTTAGACAATTTTGCCTTCAGGACTGTAGGTAAATGTACGTAGCATTGTGCGTCACGCAATGCTGCTCAGGAATATGGGCCCGTAGCTTGGCTTGAAACTAGTCGTAGTGAACGGTTTCACGGGTAACAACCGTCAATAATTGAGATATCGATCTGGAGATTTCGGTATCTACGGATATAGGTAATTTTTTTTTATATTTTTTACTTTATTTTAAATTACAGCTGTTAGCCGTTAAACATAATCAATTTCAATACCTAGTGTAGTCACATATTTTATAGCTCATATTTATACTTGTGACTAATAATATTATGTATTTCGAACACACAGAATTATCACAGTAGGTATAAAATAATGGTATACTGGTAATATCGAGTGATTTAGTTTCCGAACGTGGCAACATTATCTCAGTCTCAGTCAGGCATTCGCACGGTTTTTGTTTTTTTTTTTTTGTTTTTACAGCGACAGATATATTTTTTTATAACAAATGAATACTAATTATTATTGGATAAGTCTTGAGCTTTAATGTTTTTATATCTGATAGTTTTAATATGATCTTAATCCTTCTGATCGTTTTAGTAGACACCCAAACAGTGTATACAACATGAATAATCCACAATTAAAAAAAAAAATTACAGTTTTTAAATGAGCCACGATTTATCACGTCAACGTCGATCAAATAAAAATGAATGTAAATTAATACTTAAGTAGGTACCGTTTACCAACGAATTAAAAAAAACTGAACATATATCCAATTCATAACGGAACAGAAAAAGTGTAAAACGCATGAACGTTTACTATTTTTTCGTTTTTCAATTTCTTCTCAACTGTACTGCTTCACAATAGCTGCAGTTACAAATCGGGAATCATTTGAAAATATCGCGTTTGGTGCACAGTCAATGAGCTTTTATTTAAGATGATTTTATTAATTTTGGGGCTCCTAGCCGCCGTGAACGCTACTCCTGCAGTCGACAAGGAATCCTACAAAGACCAATGTAAGATATGTAATTTTCATTATTTTATTTGATTCGCGCCACAAAGTGACATAAAATTACATTAGTATTGCAAGTTTATAAAATGGCATGTATGCCACGTTTAGTTATATTATTAGCGTTAACAATAACTTGCTCAATTTATTTAAAATAAATTAAACCCATTCGTAATACAATAGTTACGCATATTTTAAATAGAATTAGCTACCAGTTTCCAAAGGGGTATTTGAGAAAATGATCTCGTTGTATCTGCTTGTTTACAGACCGTGGTTCTGGTCAAGCCGGGAGACCTAATGCAGAACACAACGACCACAGTTCAAATTGTAGATATCTCTTTGTATTATTCATTAGTATGTTGGGTATAGCTCGCAAATTCAATCGTGATATTAAACAAAAATATCAATAATTTTGAAAAAAATAACCACACTAAAGGATCAAAAGTCTCGACAATGATAACGACTAAATTCGGTCGCTAAGTTTTGAATTCATTTAGATTTTTCAATCTTTTACTTTTTTAATAAAATCGTTGTCGTGCTTGCCCTGGGATCCGAAAAGCTCTATTTATAAACGTGGGTAAATTGCGGACATCAATAGTTAAAATTCAATATTTCGTTTTATTTTTAGAGCTTAGTTGTGAAATTCTTTTACTGGCAGGCAACAAACAAATTAAATATACCTTGAATAAAATAAAAAAAATAACAATCAACGCCGCCGGCAAATGCATACATTTCTCTAGTCCACGAACAAACAAAAAACTTACGAATAACTGTTCGAAACGCTTGTTGTTTTCGTCGGGCGCTGTTCAAGCAGGGTACAATGTTTTCAAATAATACTCCCTCACGTGTTCTTTCAAACATCTCGTGGTGCATAACACGTGTATTTTTGTACTTTTTAAGAATTAAAGAAAGTGTATACCTGTTTACCTGCCTTGTAATTTGTATGACAACTTTTAATTATTGTAATAATTTAAGTTGTGCAACTTGCAACATAACCTAACGTAACATCACGCCTTTTATCCCCAAAGGGGTAGGCAAAGGTGCACATTACGGCACTTAATGCCACTGTACAATATAACACCCGCTTTTTACTATTTATATTATTAGTCCTATGTAATAGGGAGCGAGCCTAGTGCCGTATACCCGGCACAATTCCAGACTCCTTGTTACTGAGCAGAAACCATGTAATACTTCGCCCGGGAATCGAACCCTAGACCGCTCACCTGGCAGTCGCACTGGCGACCATTCGGCCAACGAGGCAATCAACTCAACTTGCACCTCCAACAAAAACCTTTTATATTTAATTTTTGATAACACGGTTGGAGTAATTTGTTGCGGAACAGGTTGCAAGTTGCAAGTTCGATTTTCACACGGAAAAAAAATAGTAATCCACAATTAACGGTTTCTAGTCTGTATGTGATTTGTGTATGGTAAGTCGGTGCAGTGATGAGTATGGTTAAGCGGGAATTCCTTTTTGCCGTTTCCATTTTAGCTTTATGGATAAGCTATTCCATTTTGACTGGCTTTAGAATATAAAGTTTGAATAGCTGATTTCCTTATCCGCAGACTGTACGGACCCAAGAACGATGAGGAAGCATGCAGCGTATACCGAGTGGGCAGATGCATACTCGTGCACCAGACATAGATGCCAACCAGGAGGACGGAACCTCGCCATCTATACAGTCGGGTAAGTGTGCATTATTCCGATGATGATCATTTATTTATTTAAGATAAGGTTAAAGATTAGATCCCACATTTTATTATATCCTGAACAGTTGTACATCCATCTTGATGCATCTATGTAGGTAGGTACACGGATTTTCATAATTTTTTAGTATTTTTTGATTCGTGTTAACCACTAGAAGTCAGCATTTTTAGTGACTAGAAGCCAGTGTGCAATGAATTAAGTAGTTACTTAGGTATGGTACTGAAATTGTCAGAAATTTAAAAATAAAAGCACAGTAGCCTCAGACAGCCAATTTAGAAAGTGACAGACTTAATCAAATAAGTATCTTTCTTGTTCAGATGTAAGCGAGTCGAAGCCCCCGAGTCGGCGATAGAATGCGAAGAAGTCGTTGAAGATACCAACATGCAGTTCCCCTTCTGCTGCACGCGTCTCAGGTGAGAGACCTCTGAACTTGATGAAGACTTTTTGGAGACTAAAATAACAGACATTAACAACATAACATCGCGCCTTTTATCACCGAAGGGGTAGGCAGAGGTGCACATTACGGCACTTAATGCCACTGTACCATGTAACACCCACTTTTCACTATTAACTATTTAGACACTAATAATTTTAGACTATGCTGTATATTTATACTTACTAGAAATAATCCAACTTTTAAAAATGGTATTGGGTAGATCCAGCGTTCATGACCAAAAGCTCTCATAAAACCAAGTACCATTTCTGACGCTCTGAACATCATATCTCTAGATGCTTGGTGGTAGTTCGCGGAGAAGTATGGACGAGGGTGCTGGGCCAACCTTGGGAAGTTCTTCCAGCAGCACCGTGGAGTCACATGTACAAGATGAAGAAACCACCGCCAGCTGACTCCACCTTCCTACCCAAGTAAGTGTTTTAGCTTTCTGCATGCCACTAGTCTGAGAAACTGGGATATACCTTTTGTCATCTCCGTCTTCAACATCATAGCAGTCATAAGATATCTACCGCTGAACATTGCCTCTTCCAATGGCTTTTTCATGGGCAATTTCGCAATAGTGGAGAGTCGGTAGTTCAATCAGTGTAGATATTGACCAGTCAATAACAGTGTGGATAGGGCCGAACTTTGGCAGTTTTTGTTTTTTTACTATGGCATACAGGAAGTTACAAGCATTGAAAGGTCCCTCGCATAGGTTATTTAGTTTTAATATTGTATATATTTTGTAAAAGAAATGGAATGGTTATGTTAAATAAAAATTGTTGTGAATTTATTTTGAATTTTTATTTATCATTAACCTATCCTTTTAATTTAAGACCCTGTTTCATCATAGTCAATTAGGCTTTCAGTTACATATTTTTGACACATATGTATTAAATAGAAAGTACATCAAATTGTCTGCCAGCTAGACTAATGCGAAGTTAGCCAGAAATTGTACAGCAAGGCCTAAACAAAAACTATAAGCGCAGAGCGGTAAAGGATCACTGAATAGATAGAATTCCAACTAGAAAAAATAAATTAAAAAAAAACATATTAAAAACTACTCCTTTAGCTATTCAGCCGGTAGCTTCGACATTGATAACGACAAAAATCGGTCGCTTAGTTAAAAATATACTTAATTTTCTCTAAAAATTTTAGATTTTTGTAATTAGTCTCATGCAAACGGGGATAAGCCTATCGTCGTGTATCTGACACAATGATCAGTAGACTCCATAATATAATTAAGTCGAATCCGAGACAATGAACTAGAATACGAGAAATATTTCACTAAAAGACAACATTTAGATAGGCCCACAGAAACACAACTTCTATCGAGTAACAAAAAATATAATAGTGCCTGACACTTCACATGTGTAGGCATATTTCGCCAGTTAAGTACAAATTGGATACTGCCTGAAGGGTCCTTTGGGCTGAACCCAATTTAATACTATTTCCGAGTAAATAAGTAGCTTATAACCCATCGTCAGCATCGGCCACGTTATTGTTTACCACCAGGTGAATTGACCAAACGCTGCATGACCCATTCAATGTGCCTGTTTCTTTTGGTCTTTCCTAGTAAATCTGATCTGATTATTCTTTCAACTATTCCAGGACGAACGAACAAGGTCCAGTCTACGAGCTGACGGAAAACGAAGACACCGGCGGTCATGATAAGGTGCTACGATCAGGCAAGAAGCCCGTTACTGACCCTGACTGCAATGAAATAGAGTCCAGGGCCGCTCCGCCGCCCCCAGACATTGTGGTAATCTTACTGTGATGGGAACCACTCGAAAGTCCACAGGCGCACTGATTGGTCGACAAAAATCCTGATGAATGATTATCACGGCAGCTCGTTTCCATCCACTGTACTCTATATAAAGCACTTCAATAGCACGCCACTTAATTTAACTCTATCCCTAGGAATAAAATATAAAGCGACTTTATTAGAGTGCAGTTATATGACGATACGTTAATAAATCAGCTTTATAATAATTATCAACGCTATTCTAGGTTCGGATCTCAGAGACGGGTTACAGGAATATTAAAATGCTAGATGTAAATAGAAACCTAGATAAAAAATAGTCCCATAATTATAATGTGGTTACAAAATATCAATTTTCTCAATATTACAGATCGCATTATCAACAAATAACGAAATAAAGGAACCTTTGCAAAAGAAATATGAAAACTCTAGGTGAGTTTGTACCTTAATTCTGTTACTATCATCACGTCTGTGTCAAAAATACAATAAGAACTTTATGAAATATACAGCAGATGAGCAGGAAGAGAACCTGATAGTATTTCCCTATGAATGTATATAACCTCTCGCACGCCTCTCGTACACACGGGTAAATATTTTAATAGAAAAGCGAATAAACTATTCTGTTCAATCAAATAAAGAACGGGTTGCAAACTTGAAAATATACGTCACATAAAAAATATCCAATCGATGCGCGTTTCTCGTACACCCGTGTGTTCAATTGTGCGATGGGCACTCAACTCTCAACTCTCAAACACGCGAGAGGCTGTGGTATTACATACAATCATGATATGAATTCAATATTTCTAATTTTCAACGTCAGTTCCCTACTTAGATTTCCTTCACCACTGACACAGGCGTGTTGATCCAATTAGTTAAGTTATTTTGTGTACGACAATAGTACACTGGCATCTCTCATTTCGAGGATTACAGGCGTTCTCAATCTAAACATGAAAACTCCAGACACAAGCGAGCTCGTAAGACTACTCCGTCGACTCCAGCTCAGTACTTTGAGGAGGAGCAAAGAGAGAACAAGGACAGAGAGAAACGCATAGAGCCTGAGATACAGGAGGTTGAGGAAATTCCTACGTCTACTGATAAAGTAAGTTTCAGTTTTGACGTTATGAGTAGGAATTGTAGAACGTTAGGTTAAACGAGAGACGAAACTTTTGAAACCCTCGCTTGATACTCAGTTCTATCTTAAAGAAAGGAATTAAAAGGTGCAACATTACGGTACGTTCCGTTATTTACTACATACATATATTAAATTCATTGTCACCGTCTTTATCCCTTAATATTAACATTAAAAGTGGGTAAGTATTCTTGCAATACAATAGATGATTTCTTTTATTTTTAGGTACGTAAAATATTACTATTCTCATGCCTGCCAATCGTAGAGGTAGGTAGAATGGTCCGGGTCTCGACCGGTCTCTGCCTTCCTCTCGAATAGTCTATTGCGCACGATTTATGATATCTTCAAAATATTTGCAGCCTCCTGAAATGTCCGCGGAAAAATTCTTCGCCAATAATTATGCAGATACGCAGAAAACACCGCCTAAACATGTGCGTATATTACTTTTGAATTATTTTTACTTTTGTTCATTTTCAGCCGTGTTATGGTGAAGGCAGGATCGAATATATTAATTACTACACCCGAACTTCTTGCATGTGTCGTAAGAGCCGATTAAACTGTCAAACACCAAGTGGTCACCGGTGACCGCAACCTACTGTTCTATAATTGTGTCTATAATGACGGTACTCAACGAGTTAAATGACTTAGCAGTAGCTTTCTAGCGTAAACGCGCCTACCAAGCGTTGAGACTGCAAACCCTTCTTTTTTGTGGAGTAGGCCTATATATAGTCCAGCCGTAGTACGGCCTGTTAATTGGTGACGAAGGAAGTTTGCCAGTTGATTTGAAAAACTTTGTTTCCTTCCAGGGTAGTCACAATCCAGTGTCTTGGACTGAGATCCCTCAGAACCAGTGGAATGATCCGCATGAAGGCTTGGAATTAGAAAATCGAGTTAGCGTGAGTGTTACACATCTTTCAATGTTGTTTTTAAATTCTGGCAAGGGCAGTGTAGAATGCATTTTGTTCCCAGGCCTACCTTTTGTCATAAGAGCTGACTAAGGGATTACAGATTTGATAGAGACTGCGCAACAGAGCTACCTGATACCCTTGAGCCTTTTAAATTACAGTTATATACCAGCTCAGCTTACTATTCGGAGTGATTATGGCAGACCCTCTTACGTAAAGAAGTCCTATAGTCCAGGAGTACACTGTTACGAGTTGTTGATATTGACTTTGACTGTCATTTCTATTTAGAACCCAACTAGCTGCTACTAGCAACTTCACCCGCGTTCCCGTGGGACAGAAAGTCGCCTATATGTTATTCCAGACCATAATCTACCTCTGTTCCAAAATTCATCGCGATCCCTTCAGCCGTTTGTCAAAACGCGTCAGTCAAGTCAGTGATTGAGTAACAAAGAAATGAACAGAAAAACTTTTGCATTTGTAATATTAGTAGAAAGTAGGATGAAGGTGATTCTTTGCTAGACAAGTTGTCTGATTTTCAAGTAATCAAATAACAATCCTTTCGCATTATAGATAGATCTCTTGCAGGAACCACAGATATATCAAGCGCAGGAAACTCAACCTCAAGATATGCCAGAACCTAAAGTACAAGCAATTAATGCTCTAATGAGTGCTAATGAGGAGAAACCAACTAATTTGCAAGCATTAGTAGATGCTATAGGTACAAGAATGAGAGATATTGAGAGTGTTGTTCAAAAAATGAGTGAGAAAGTCCATCAAGTGAAACCGGGATTTGAAAGTAGCGCTGAAAAAAGGTGAGATTATTCCATGTTAAATGCCTAATTGAATTTTCATGGTTTAATTTCGGGGTGAATTTAACTAAAAGTCTTAACTAAGTCTTACTTGATTCTCTAAAAACTTTGATGTTTCTTTTTCGATAGTTATTCTTTATTTCTAATAAATATTCATAACTTTTAAAAGAGTCTCTTGATCTAACACCGTTTTATGCTAACGTTCTTAATTAATAGGGAGTTAAAAATATTTTCTGATTTGTCTTCAAAGTTGGGAGTCTCGACAATTATTGACAAGAAATCCGTTACTAACTCAGTAATTTAATTCACAGATTTTCAACAATATAAGTTTGAAAATCTATTCACGAAACTGGATAAAGAGCAAATTTTGTCGTTATCAATGTCGAGACTGCCGATTTTAATAAACTAATTTTGGAGTGTAAAACCTATGTTCTTTTTAAAACCTATTTATTCAGAATATCAGCTGAGCTGGAAGAAGCACATAGACTTCATAAGGATCCGAAACGACCCAACGCAGATGGTGACAACTACAGAAGGTAATAGTTGTACAACCGCTGTTGGTGGTGGCAAAGGCAAGCGTACAAAATAAAGAATTGCATCTCTTTTTAATAAACCTATGACTGATAAAAGTTTCACACAGGATATTTGTCCACGCAATATAAGACTAGTATATATCTATGTTCCGTCGCACTGTTGAGTTAAGTCCTATAGGCAAAAATTCCTTGTAAGATATGATATCTTGCAAGCTGACTAAGTCACAATTAACTCCGCCTTGTTTGGAAAAAACCTAAAGCTAAAAAGTATTTACAAAATGCGTGCCCGGATCATAGCTAGCTCATGATCGGCTGTTTTAGATGGGACTTAACTATAACTAACGAAAAGCGAGCGTTTCATCTAAGAAGCGTTCTTTTGGCAAACCTGCGTAGATTGCAACGCTCTTGCAATCTACGCAATTGGGTGCTTACTCTTGAAACCGGTCTCAATGTCAAGGCAATTTTAATTCAATAAAATCTCAATAATTATTCAATGTCAAAGCTATACAACCCCTGTCGTAGCTGTTGAAATAGCATTCAGAGTACGGAATAAAAAGCCAAACTCAATACCATTTAGTTCATTAAATATCCACGCAATATGGATGCAATAGGCGCTAGAGTTGCAACTTAAGAGTACGAAATTTCACAATGCCAGTGACGATCGATCGGAATTGGATTCAAGAGTAAGCCCTCATGTATTGGTTATGTGAAATAAATAAATTTCTTGCAATAAAGGCTCTAAACAGCAAGTGTACGCATAAAAAAATTTCTTTTAAAGGTTCTCGGTGCTTAGCAATCGAGGTAGCAAATATCTGCATAGCGCTTCAGATAGTACCGCTGAACCGCCATTAATTATCGGAGACACTAATCTGACCGGATATTTCAGCGATGCTAGCAACAGTGTCTTAAGGAGAAGTGCCCAACCTAAGGTAATTGATGAATTTAGCTTCATTTTCTTAATCATATTATAGTTAAATGTCAACTGATTCTCGTAAATAGATAATAATTTTGTACATAATAATGAAATTAATTTAGTTATTGTCAATATGAATCGACTTATTAAAATTATATTTTCTGCATTGGCAACTTTAAGATTCCCCTCATAAACTTATGTTAAACGCACTGGTTAAACGGGACTGGTAAGGTCTCGACATTCGTAACGATAGAATTGGTGGCCAAACCGATTGTCGAGACTCCAGCTCACAATCGCTAGTAAATTATTTTGATTTTTTTTAACGGGAACTATGGTAAATAACAATCGTTTCAACATGTAATAACAATAAACAATAACCATAATCAACGTACTTATAGAACTGACAGCATAATTTATGATAATAGCCTGTTTATTTATTAGGAACCTCCGCCGACCTATATGGCACCGGTAGAAAATCACAAGTCCAAAGTCCCGGTACATATCGCAGTCGTCTCAGACAACTTAGAAGATACAGAAAAGAAGAAAAAGAAGCACTCGCACAAGAAAAGAAGGGGTAAAGGCTCACGTTCACACAAGAAACACCATTCTAAAGACGATAAAAGAAAACACTTTAATAGGCTTAGTTCAGTCGAAATGGACAAGAATGTAGTTTCTTTAGAAGATAGTAGTGCGCTAACTAAAAAATAGATGGCGCTGTTCAAAACTTTGGTAAATGGCTGAGCATTTTTGTGAAATGTTCGTTGAGTGAACTGATTTTTTTTTATTTATTTTGATTTTATTTTGGTTTCTTATAAGTATTTTACTATCTGATCATCAGAATTCACCAGAAACAGCGTTATGTTTTCTGTTTTTAAGATCTAGCTATCGCAATGGAGAAACCTGTTATGATAGTTTAGGTAAGGTTATATATAAATAAATAAATGTAATAAATTACGTTTTGTTTCAAACCAACTTCGCAAGAAGAATGCTTAAGTCTTCAGTTTTATACCTTATTCATTGATTTTGAGCTCAGTTAACCCAAGCTATCAGAAATGCCAAGCCATTTATTGATAATTCCAAGTATTTAATAATTCAGATTTTTTATACATAATAAAGTGTATTTAGTTCATGATTTTGTTTTATTTGTTGATCTTTGTTATCATCAAGTTACATCTACATGGCGCAGTATATGGGCGATGCGACGACGGGCTGCTGTACTGGATCATAGGTTTCGATTCCAGGACATATGTGAATTATATATGTACTAGCGACCCGCCCCGGCTTCGCCCGGGTGCAATATGCATGTATTATACATACAAACCTTCCTTAAGAATCACTCTATCTATTAAAAAAAAACCGCATCAAAATCCGTTGCGTAGTTTTAAAGATCTAAGCATACATACGGACATACAGCGAAAGCGACTTTGTTTTATACTATGTATTGATAATATATGAATGTGTCAGGCATGCCTAAAATTAAGTAAACGCAAACGATTCCATGGAAGTGAATAAAATCCTACTTAATTCATTTATTTACTACAGCTACACTAAAAAATACTCGAATGTAATGTTGTGCTAAAACTAAGTACTAACTTGTCTTAGATAATCAGTAAGTCTATCGAAGACTTACAAGGTGCTCTCTTCTTCTTCTCCCAATTGTCCTGCGGAGTATCTTTTTCTTGAGGTTTGTAGCCGGGGGGGGAAAGTTGTGTTAGGTGTTGTCTATTGTCCTCCTACTAATGATTATTTCACTGACTTCGAATCGGTTCTTGAATCATTGGGTTCCGAGTACACTCACCACATAATCATGGGCGATTTTAACACCAACCTTATGTCCCACGCCTCTCCTCGTTCCCGCAAACTCCTGCATATAATCGAGTCAGCGAGCTTGCAGCTGTTACCGCTTAACCCCACTCACCACACTACAGTCGGCGAAGACTCCTGGCTCGATCTTATCCTCATTTCCAATCCCTCTCTCGTTTCTTGTCATGGACAACACGACGCTCCGGGTTTCTCTCACCATGACATGATTTTCTTGTCCTATATCCTAAAACCGCCTAAGGTGAGACCCAAGGTGTTGTACCGGCGTTGCTTCGCGCGGATGGACAAATCTAAACTCCAGAAAGACGCGTCCTTGATCAACTGGGAGCCACTGATGGAAGCATCTTCAGTGGATGATAAAATTGCGTACTTTAACGCGGTGATAACTAGCGTGTATGATCTTCATGCTCCCATCAAGAAAGTTAGGATTAAACGACCACCGGCTCCGTGGATGACGCCTGGTATTAGAATGGCGATGCGACGTCGTGACCGCGCGTTCCGCAAGCATCGAAGAGATCGTACGGAGGATAACTGGGCTGCCTTTAAGACCGCGAGAAACAGATGTAACCAGATGGTACGTGACGCTAAACGCCGCCACGTTCTTGAAAACATATCTTCCTCTTCTTCTGCCGATATCTGGAAATTCCTTGGAACTCTAGGCATCGGCAAAACGCAATATCCAGACCTACCCAGCACAATTGGATTGGACGATCTTAACAACCATTTCGCTACCGTCCCTGTTATGGATCGTCTAATGAAAGAACAAACCTTGTCGTACATAGCTGGTCTGGCGCGTCCCAATATTTCTGATCCTTTCTGCTTCACACCGGTTCAATTGGCGGAGGTCGGAAAGATTATCCTATCCATAAAATCCAAAGCTGTAGGATGTGATAATATCTCTCGAGACATGATCATAACTATACTAGATCACATCTTACCAGCAATAACCCATATAGTAAATTTTTCTCTTTTTTCAGGAACCTTTCCATCCCTCTGGCGCAGGGCCTTTGTTCGACCTCTTCCTAAAATCTCTAATCCCTCTCTTCCCACTCATTTCCGTCCCATCTCCATACTTCCTTTCCTTTCCAAAGTGCTTGAGGCCTGTGTCCACAAACAACTGGCTGACTTTATTTACAAAAATTCGCTCATAAGTCCCCTTCAATCTGGTTTCAGGCCGGGCCACAGCACGGTTTCCGCTCTCCTTAAGGTGACTGGCGATATTAGAACTGGTCTCGAGAGCACTAGAGCCACAGTTTTGGTTTTAGTTGACTTCTCGAACGCCTTCAATATGGTCAGTCACGACATCCTTTTAGCCATCCTTTCCCATCTAACGATCTCTGACAAATCATTGAACTGGTTTTCATCTTATCTTCGGGCCCGCCAGCAGTCTGTCAAGCTTGATGATACTTCATCGGGTTGGCGCGAATTAACGGCTGGTGTTCCTCAAGGCGGCATACTATCACCTCTTTTATTCTCTATCTTCATTAATCTCATTACTTCTGAACTTCAGTGTGCGTACCATCTATACGCTGACGATTTGCAACTGTACTGTCAGGCCAGTGTTGACAGACTCTCTGATGCGATCTCGGAGATGAACGGTGACCTGGTATCCATCAAGAACTGGTCCGAGAGATTCGGTATATCAGTTAATCCCGGCAAATGCCAGGCTATTATAATAGGTAGCTCCCGTACGCTGGGTGGAATAGACCGAGCATCATTACCAGCCGTGCTCTTTGATGGTGCAGTAATCCCGTTTGGTACTGACGTCAAAAATCTGGGTTTGCATATTGACTGCAATTTAAAGTGGCATGCTCAAATCACAAATGTATGCAGGGGGGTTACTGGATCATTGCGTGCTCTGTATCGCGTAAAAAATTTGCTTCCTCCCGCTACGAAGGCCATGTTGGTGCAAGCCTTGGTTTTCCCTATCATCGATTATGCTGATGTCTGCTACTACGACCTGAATGCAGATCTCCTCAATAAGCTCGACCGACTTCTAAATAACTGCATCCGATTCGTTTTCAACCTGCGTAAATACGATCATGTTTCTGCACATCGGTTGCAACTAAAGTGGCTGCCCATACGCCAGCGCAGGGAGCAAAGGGCGCTAACCACTCTATTCTCCTTTCTTTCTTCACCTTCTTCACCCAGTTATCTATCCCCTTACTTTCAATACTTATGCGCAAACCACAGTAAAAATCTTCGTTCTTCTCACAACCGTCTTCTCCAATGTCCCACTCATCGCACTGACTTCTTACATTCATCCTTTTTCGTACAGGCAATTTTTCTGTGGAATGCGCTCCCCCTGGATGTCAGGATGGTCTCAACTCGACTAACTTTTAAGCAGAAAGTACGTGAGCTTTTCCTAAAGAGGTTGGCTGAATCATCGCGCTAACTATCCACTGTGTACTAGTAAGCAAGTATATATTTATATATTATGTATATATGTATGTATGTAGGCATATTGTACTCATGTGTAGGTATACATTATAATTAAATTTATTTATGTATGTATATCTCCGAAATATATTAGTTTATCTTTCATTGTTAAATAAAATCACTGCTTGCCTCTTGCACCTACCATTTACTCTTCTCTGCATCACCCAAAGGTCAGACTGGTAGAAAATGCCTGCGGCATTAAGTCCACCTTTTTGTACATTTTGTGCATGAAGTATTTTAAATAAATAAATAAATAGGTAAGGTAGGTAGGTAGAAAACCATAAACGACAAAACCAAATCAGATATTTTCAACCTTTTATGCATTTATGACTTAACGACCGATTTCTATCGTTATCTTTGTCGATAGGTACTACCAGCTCAGACAGCAATGGTAAAATTCTAAAAATCGCATTTTCATGGATCACCTGATGGTAAGCCGTTGCCCATGGACACTTGAAATACCGAGGCGTTGCAAGTGCGTTACCAGCCTTTTGGGAATTGGGTATTTGAGGATTGTGGAGGATTCAACGCAAGCGTTGTTTCACGTCGGTTTTCTGTGAGATGCATCTGGTCAAGCCATCTTAATTTAAATACAAACGGAAGAGGAACCGAGTAAGCAGTAACGAAAAAAATTTAACGAAAAATAATTATAAACAGGATTCTTCCTAGCAAGAATCATGTCGAAATACTCGTGTAAAGCTCAACCTAACTTTTCTATCAATTAGATCCTCAACTTTATTACTTTGATATACAGTTATAAGTATTAAGTGTGGGAGAGCCATGCTTCGGAACGAATGGGCCGGCTCGACCGGAGTGATACCACGGCCGAGCAGAAAATCGACGTGAAGCAACGCTTGCGTTGTGTTTCGTCGTGTGAGTGAGGTTACCGGAGGCCCAATTACCCTCCCCTTCCCCAATCTCCCCAATCCCTGAATCCCCAACAATCCTCAAATCCTAATCCCCAAAAGGCCGGCAACGCACTTGTAACGCCTCTGGTGTTCCAGGTGTCCATGGGCGACGCCGATTCCTTACCATCAGGTGATCCGTCTGCTCGTTTACCGGCTTATGCCATAAAAAAAGTTGAAAATCCAATAAAAAATATTGACATTTGAGTCGATTATTCTGTTCTGTTCAAGTTTATCATGGTCTCTGCTTGTATGATCTTTCCGCACATTCGAAGGTCAGGTTATACTGGTTTTGAAGCTCGATGTATTTTTTTTTATTTTTTTTATCCAATGGCTGCCCCCGCCCGGGTGAGGCGGGAGGGAGTGTCAGACTCTTACTGACTAAAAACCACCCCGTTCCTTCTCCTGCACGTCGAGCCGGAGCCCCGGTTACCCGTTAGGTTCTCCTCGATGTATAGTGTGCCATCATACCTTAGCATCGCTTTTTCTTCCAACAAAAGAGTTAAAAGAGCTAAAACGTGTGTTTTTATATAAACACCTGCTCTAATTGCTCTACTTTTACAATATTACGGGTCGTTTCATTACCAATCCAGTTTTAGGGAACAAAATAAAAAGTTTTCTGTCAACACTTTTACGTTACGTCATGTCATACATATAATAGGCGTGTCGACAGGGTAAAAAAACCAAAAAAGTAATTAGTCCGTCATTAAGATCGCACGAAAATATCAGACACGTGTTTTTTGTTTTATCAAATTAACAGAAGAATACGTAGTTATTCCGCATTAATGTTAGGGAGTGGGGGGGTTGACGTCACACTTACGGAGAAATCGTACCTAATTGTGACGTCACGCGTCATTTTAACTCAAAATATCTACACGTTTTTTTGGATACGAGAAAAAAGAAAAAATACGTATCGAAGATTTTTAAAATATCTAAAAGACGGACA